CCATTGTCCCCATTGTCCCCGGTGCTGTCCCCGGTGCTGTCCCCATTGTCCCCATTGTCCCCGGTGCTGTCCCCGGTGCTGTCCCCACTGTCCCCATTGTCCCCGCTGCTGTCCCCATTGTCACCGGTGTCCCCGGTGCCGTTGCAGAGCAGAGACTCATTCGGGAGCCAGCGACGAGGAGCCCCTGAAGGAGTCCAGGCTGAAGGAGGCGTTTTTGTGAGTGCTTTGGGTGGGAACTTCCCGGGAATTCCCTGGGAATTTTCCTGGGAATTTTCCTGGGAATTAACTGGGATTTTGATGGGAATGTGATGGGAATTAAATGAGGATTTAGTGGGAATTTTGCCAGAAGCTTGCTAGGAATTGACTGGAAGTTTGCTGGGAATTTACTGGGAATTTGATGGGAATATTGCTAGGAATTTTGATGGGAATTTTGCTGGGAATTTAGTGGCAATTTTGTTGGGAATTTGGTGGGAATTAACAAGGAATTTTGCTGGGAATTTCCTGGAAATTCATTGAGAATTTGCTGGGAATTTCCCAGGAATTTCCTGGGAATTCCTCTCTCTGGATCCTCAGCAAGAGGAACCATCTGCCGCCATTCTGGGCCAAGCCCGCCCCTCACTCCATCTGGGAGATTCCAGCGCCTGCTCCGGGATTTTGGGGCTTTCCCTGCGTTTTCCTGCCCTTTTCCTTCATTTTTCCCCCTGTGTCCCGTTCCAGCTGTTTGGAATTCCTGCTGGATAACGGTGCTGACCCTTCCCTGCGGGACAAGCAGGGCTACACCGCCGTCCACTACGCGGCCGCCTACGGCAACAGGCAGAACCTGGAGCTGGTGAGCGGCTCCGGGGGCTGGGAGAGAGGGAAAATCCACTGGGAAAGAGGGAAAATCACCCAGGAGAGAGGGAAAATCCTCAGAGAGAGGGAAAATCCCCCGGGAGAGAGGGAGAATCCTCCTGGGAGAGAGGGAAAATCCTCTGGGAGAGAGGGAGAATCCTCCTGGGAGAGAGGGAAAATCCCCTGGAGAGAGGGAAAATTCTCCGGGAGAGAGGGAAAATCCCCCAGGAAATGAGGGAAAATCCTCTGGGAGAGAGGGAAAATCCCCCGGGAGAGAGCGAAAATCACCCAGGAGAGAGGGAAAATCACCTGGGAGAGAGGGAAAATCACCAGGAGAGAGGAAAAATCACCCAGGAGAGAGGGAAAATCACCAGGAGAGAGGAAAAACCACCCAGGAGAGAGGGAAAATCACCAGGAGAGAGGAAAAACCACCAGGAGAAAGGGAAAATCACCCGGGAGAGAGGGAAAATCCCCTGGAGAGAGGGAAAATCCCCTGGGAGAGAGGGAAAATAACCCGGGAGAGAAGGAAAATCCCCTGGGAGAGAGGGAAAATCACCTGGGAAAGGGAAAATCCTCCAGGAGAGAGGGCAAATCCGCTGGGAGAGAGGGCAAATAACCCGGGAGAGAGGGAAAATCACCCTGGAGAGAGGGAAAATCCCCCCAGAGAGAGGGAAAATTCCCCAGGAAAGAGGTAAAATCCCTCAGAAATCCCCCCCAGGAGAGAGGGAAGATCTCAGGAAAAGAGGGAAAATCCCTCAGAAATTCTCCCCAGGAAAGAGAGAAAATCCCTCAGGAAAGAGGGAAAATCCCAGGAAAAGAGGGAAAATCCCCAGGAAAAAGAGAAAATACCCCTTAGGAGAGAGGGAAAATCCCTCAGAAATCCCCTCAGGAAAGAGGGAAAACCCCTGTAAAAAAGAGAAAATCCCTCCAAGAAAGAGGGAAATCCTGAACTGGAGAGAAAAGTCAGATCTGTCAACCTGGAATAGAGAGAAAG